AAAACCAAACCCGAAAACACCAAAATCGAATTGTCGGTTCTTGATTCTACCAGCAACCGATCGGCTTTTGGTTGCTAGAAACCGAAGTTTATGGGAACAGAAGAAACCGAACCGAAATCTCGGTTAAAACCAATTGCCCAACCTGATATATGGTGTTATAAATATAGCATTCTAAGCTAGGAATCCCAACGCGACTTGGCACATGGGTTTCCATATGCTTGACTTATCAACCCAGTCTGTCTCTATCTCTGCAACTAAAAAGACCGAGATGTTATAGTGCAGCCGGTTTCACCATCGCCCTGCACCAATACCCCTCCATACTGGCAATTTTTTTGCGTGCCAATAGGTGGGCCCTTCACCCTGAGTCACCGCTCCTGTCGTTTCGGCCACATGCATGCCCTGACACCACTATTGTCAAAGCGGTCAGTGCACGGTGTCACGCTTCTATGTCTGCCCCTTGTCGGCCAATAAGCTGAGCTGTGCCTCAATGCTCTAGAGCGGCGCACCCCAAAGCCGCGCGTCACCACCTCCCTAGCTCCACGCTGCCTTCAGCCGCACTGTCGCACCAACAGGACTCTTCTGGAGTTGCAGGAGATCCCAATTGGGTACTGCGAGACGGGGTATGGATGTGCTGGTGGTTGTTGCTCCCTTCTCCGGCAAGTACCCAGCTCATCCCAACTCCTTACTATCTTCATCGCCCATGGTGAGCTGTGGTTTGCTCTAACTGTCTTCCTGCACGGTGGGATGTCATGGCACCCGAGCATCATAGCAGCAGGGTGCCAGGGTTGAGGTGGCTCAAGGCGTTGCTGGTGTACATGGCCGGATTGAATTCATTTTTGTTTGTTTCCTAGCTTGTTTGGATGGATTTCCTTGATGGTTGTGTTAATCGAGTAATCGACTGTTTTGTTCTCAATGGGTGATCTATGGACTATGGAAGCAAACTTATAGTACTTCAAAGAGATGATTGGTTCTAAAAGGTTTATGAATCAATAAATCTTGTTAGGGTGACATTAACTCTTTTGTGCGTATGTATTGATGATTGCCCATCAACAAGGATTTTGCCTAAATTTTGAAGTAAAATTAAGAAACATCTTGGTAGACACAAATACGAACCTAGGCTTGCCAAGTTCAAGAGCAAATCATGTTTTACAATTTTTTATCCCATTGTAATGCACGGTCATAAAAACTAGTAGGCAAAAACGCTAAGGGCAGCTCTAACAGTGTTAAAGAGCTAGCTCATATATTATTTTATTTAATAAGAAGGAGAGAGAATGATAATATAGCTCTTCATGAAGAGCTATGCTCACACATTTTTATATGATTCATGTGTCTATGATTACACGTTTTTCTATACCACACTACTACAGAAATGGGCACATCATCAACAATTATTTTTGAACGAAAATGGCATTTGCTCTACCTTTTAATTAAGATAGAAAAAGAGAGTTCAAAGCACACAATACAGGCTAATCCCAAGGCCCAGAGGATCTAGCAACACAACTCCCTAGAAATGATCTAGGGATAGGAAAAAAACTGAGCTTGAACAACCCAGAGAAGAGGAATGGGAGTGGGACCTAGGACAACGAAAATCAAATGCTCTCAAGGAACAATTTTTTTTGCTCTCTAGGCGCTGCACTGGGCGGAGTGGTTTCACCTTTCCTAGGGGGGGTAAGCGGTACCCTAGGCGGCGGCGCAAGCCCGTCGGCAGCGGTATGCATGCAGCTCCACCTAATGCAGGGACGCATGCAGGCGCGACGCAGACGTTGGGCGGCGGTGGGGGAGGAAGGAACATCGGGTGGAGGTCAAAAGTGGTGGGGGAGGGGGAGCATCGGGTGAAGTTGGACGGCGGGCACGGGAGCATGTGGGCGGCAGCGGGCGTGTGCGTGTGCGGGCAGTGGTGGGCGTGACTAGAGACAGAGGGGGAGATGCAAGAGAGGGAGATGAACCGATGGCGATGGCTGATGCAGGAGACCAATCAGACCGCGAAGGAAGACCTAGGGATAAGGTGTTAGTGGAGTGGGAGTACTTCAGACTTATGCTTTGGTCTGTTTGATGGGCCTTTCTCTTCAATAAGGTCCACTTATCTCTTATTTCTTTTAATTTTTCAAATTAAACATATATGTGTGTATATGCTAACGCCTAGGCTCTAGGCGGAGGGCCATCGCCTAGAAATCATCTAGCGTCTTTTGTAACCTTGGCTGTAGTGCCTTTGGAAACACATGCATGAATTTTATTCCGCTCTTTGTCACCATCACTCACACATCTTCCAAGTGCTTGCGGCTCGCCACAAACTGCAAAACTTTGCACCACAAGCTGTCAATACGCTGAGCCATGTGGTGGCACTACTAGCACATTCTTGGAATCTTGGTGCCTAGTATATCAGATGTGCCAAGTATGCTGATTCATCAGAAACCATTGTCCATTGGCCATGCATATGGTAGGGGCCAGAGGATAGGTTGGCAATATAAGGCCTCTCTTGCATGATTGTACACATCTCAAGGTGGGGACTCGTGGTCCACATCCTAGATAGAAGATTTTAGGTTCATGTTTGAATACTTGGACCTCAAAGTTTGAAGCAGGCACAGCCAGGTTGCATGAAGACGAGCAGACAGGGTTTGATGCTATTTCTCATATAGGGAAAGATCTGGTGACTAGACATCTCCTATGTTCTGTCACAATTTAGTTTGGCTCAAACGTATGACATTCATTTGGTACTCAGGAATCCTACATGTTCACCACATATCACTTTAATTTTTGTTTGCTGCTCTGTTTTGGTTGAAAATGATGGTGGTCAGCGAAACCCAATTCAAGGCTACAGTTGATCTAAGTGGTGCTATCCGCGCGCACATGATTCATATGACAAAATAGTTTCGCTTTGGTCTGTCTGTCGTTGTTTTGTGTGTGGACTTTTTCTGCTCATCATTGTTTCAGAATCACAATGGCCCATTCTGGTAGCTAGTGCGAAAATATACTGCATTGTCTTGACTGCAACCTCTAGTATATATGTAATAGACCAGCTCTCCTGCCGGTCGGAGAAAAGAAAATATCTAGGATTCGTAACCACACATGGAGTTTTCATGGTTTGACAATTACTTAGCTTAATCAAATGGACTCCATCCATATCAACCTAGTTAGTACTTTTCTCATGCAGATATGAGGATTGATATAAACTGACTTTCATATAACAATTGATCTACACAAAAGTTTAATCAAACTGATCATAAATGGTGCCATAACCTACTCAGCACTTAAACTTCAACACTTCAGAATAGCATACATGTCTGCTATATAAACTTCGAAATAACTAATTCAATTTAGCATGCAGACCTGTCCAAATACCAAAAACCACCAAACTATATGTATATACTAGTACTAGATATAATTTCTGAGACATGCCATTAGAGCCAAACCATATATGTTCCTTATCTTCGGGACCAGCGGATTAATGACAATATTGCTCTTTATAACAACTAGAATTATTGGCCATATATGTATGTACATCATTTCTAAATGTCTATGTCATGTGAGTGATATAGGTACATGATCGACATGCATCATGCATAATTTTGTAAAGTCCTCTTCACTGGCCACAACTCCCGTCCATATCAATAAAACATACCTGCAAACTAGCGATCCCTTTTCAAACTGAACCAGCGACCTAACAGAAACGTTTGTTCACAAATCAAACAATTTATAGAGTCAGCAATTCACATATAAATGTATTTTCATGCACAGACTCTACTGTATTATATTTATATGAATATAAAGACATCATTTGATCTCTTTTATGCATGCAATCTAATCTAATAAACTACATCTAAGTAATAAAACTAATATATACCAACTAATGTAGCATCTAATCATCATCCAATCATATAAATAAAACACTACTTCATTACACATGTCCCCTAAGAACCATCACACAGCGAAGTAAGGCAATGCATGACGAAAATGGACGAAATCAGTCAGAAAACCCCTCAACCGTTTTCTACTTCTACATTTGAATACGAAAACGAAAAAGAAAGCGGTAAAGCTGGGCACAAAAATGAACACGAACTTACGGAATATCGACAATTTCAAAAACAAACTAACTCGAGTAGAATTATACTGACCCGTAGGACCAAGTGCATAACAATTAACAAGTGTATGACCAGGTGCATAATAATTAACAAGTGCATGACCAGGTGCATAACAATTAACAAGTTCTACAACTTTCATATAAAAAGTATCTCCATTTGACATCATATAAGAAAGAAATGATTTTTCTAAGGCAACAAGTGCTTGTATACGATTAATATACTGCTGAAACTTTGTTTAAATTTTTTACCATCTTAATGACTTCAAATGAAAAAAAAACTCGAAACTAGAAAGTTGTATCTCATCGAGAGCTACAACTTTTATAAAAAAATCATCTTCATCCGAGATCGTATGAAAAAGATACAATTTTTCTAAGGTTGCGCCTTGCCATAGTTGAGTTGGACTTCTAGTCGGCCAAAAATGGTATAATACACCGAATAAAAAACAGAAAAGTTAAAAACTAACACCTAAACCGTTTCCGTCCCATTTTCAAATTTGGCATATCATATTTCTTACCGATTTTGGATTTGTCCAAAAATACGAATTCAATTGGATCAAAAGTAGAAAATGATGCAGGACGGTATGGGGTATATACCGACCGCTTTCATCCCTCATGATGACAAATATGTCTCACAAGTCTCATAAGTCATCAAAACCTCTTACCAATTTATGTAAAAAGCACGATCTTGAATATTGCCATGTTTTGTTCTGGCATGCTGTTGGATAGAGACAGTACGCTCCCTAGTCCTTTTTCTAGTGAGAAAATTTGAACAATAACTGATTCCCTACACCATGCTACTGTGTGCTGCCATTTGCTATTATAAATACATGCCCAAAGCTGCAATTATCTAGCACCATCAATTCCGACAATCTAACTATTAGCTACTTATATGTATACATATATTGAGAGAAACCATCACATGATGAACATCCTTGAATCTTCCAATCTTGGTGGCTACAAAGAGGTCATCAATGAAGTTGAACGCCAAAGGGCTCTCATGATGAACCTACATGACCTTGTACTACCAATACTTGATTCCCACAGTGGGCAAGCAAAGCTCGTACAGCAACTCTTTGAAGAAGTATTCAGCTGCTCAAGTAAGATTATCTCTTCCCTGGAACTTGGTGATAGCAGCGAGAAACAGGCCATTCTTACCAAATATAAAAGAAAAGGAGGTGAGAATAACGTGGAGAATCACATATTATTGGAGGAGAACAAGGGCCGTGGAAACAAGAGAAGGTAAGTGGTAACAGAAGCATATCCTTATTTATCATCCGCTAGGGCTTAAAATTTTGATTTGTTCTCTTGGTGATGGTAGGAAGAATGCAAAACACATAAGTTCAGTTGTGACACAAGCACCACACTTTGATGGATATCAATGGAGGAAGTATGGACAGAAGTGGATCTCCAAAGCAAAGCATTCTAGGTTTGTGGGAAAAAAACATTTGCATTAATGTATGCATTTACTATGTTCTATATTGGATATTTTACTATTGTGCTCTTTGAACTCTCCTTTTCTCTTAATTGAAAAAAAGGCAGAGCTCTTGCCATTTTCGTTCAAAAAATATATGTGGATAGATAGATTTTTGCATCGTGCAGCTCAAAAATGCTCCACACATATCTAATAGTATGTAACTGTAAACAACAAAAATGATCCTATTTTCAATATATCCAAAAAAAAGGTCTAATGCCGATATGGTTAACCAGGAGCTACTACAGATGTGCCTATAGTAAAGAACAAGGGTGTCCTTCAACTAAGACAGTACAGCAGAAGGAAAGTGATGGCAATGGGACGGTGAGGTTGTTCGATGTTGATTACTATGACCAGCACATTTGCAGCAGCGATGGCATAGTTCATCCATATGTTGTCGAGGCAACACATGACAGTGTGCCAATTTCCAGTCAAAACCAAAGCAGTAGCTCAATGTTTGTTAACACCGATGCCCACGGACACAGAGTTCAGGATGAAAGCTTTGAAAGCTTATTCATGGTGCCTGACATGCCAGGACATTTGACAGAGTTCACGGATGTTGAAATGGCAAGTGCGTTTGAGATTACCTCCATGAACTCGCCACTGATCCCTGAAGACATCTGGGCATGAAGAAGCGAGAAATCAAACCAAAGTCCTTTTATTGAATATATGGGTGTAAAACGGCTCACATGCAGGTAGCCACGGCATCATGAGTTCTGACAAGAAAAGGGCATAAGTGTGATAAGAAAAGTAAAAGAGCATGTGCAGAAAGTACTTAAAAATAGACAGAAAACTACTTCGTACAAAAGATGTACATATATATGGTCTAGATTCTAGAATGCTGATGCACTATCTATAGACTTTCCTGTTACATATATAACTGTAAAGCATGCATCATGATTACATTACTTCTCATTCCAAGTCTGTAAAAGGACACCCTGCAAAGTCTTACCATCGGTAAAGTCCTCCCGACATCGCTTACTCTGCTAACATTGATGGAGAAAGCTAGAGACATAGGACATAGACACATAGTAATCAACATTAAAAAAACCTGCTTGTTAGGCAATACCTAATGCAGCCTGGCTAGCAATCGGGACGGTTGTATTCTCACCTGACTGCTTAATTTTGTCCAGTTTGTACATGCTGTTGAATTGAACTGTACCAAGACTGAACCTTGCAACCACAGAACGGAACAAATAAATCATCTACATTAATTTGTCGACCACAGAAATAAATTAGGCGATGAAAGATTCACACGTGAAACAAAGACCGATTGATTCGATTTCCGAAGACTCTGATCGAACTGCCCGCAGTTTGGCAGGAAAACCCAAAGCGAAATCCATCCAAACCTACTAGAATTTTTGCTCCCTAGAGAAGGACAGAGAGGGATGGAGGGAGAGGTGACCTTAGGCGTTTGGCGGAACTGCAGCTGCTCCCCCATGTCCCCGGTCCCCACAGGGTGATCACTGATCAGCGAAGAAGCCACCGCCGCCAACCGCTGTCGACGCCTTGCCGGAGCCGAAGAGGAGATAACTGGGCTGAAAAAAGTAATTAGGCAAGGGCCCCCTGCGCATTGCACTGCTGGCGCCTGCTGCACCATGGATATGCGTTCACGTGATATACTCCGTACACGAGCTGAGACCTACGTGCGTGCTGCGCTGTTCGATGGACGAGGGTGGGCCGCGAATGGAGCAGTGGAAGGAGTGGGCCATGAGAGCGACATGGGATGGGCCCTAGGCTTGCTTTCGTAGCTACGTGGGGTGGGCCGCAAATGGAGTGGAAGGCCTGGGCCATGAGAACGACGCGGGTGAGCCGTACACAACCATGCGCAGCCAAAATTTACCGGCGGTTGGCTTCTGTCCGAGCGGCCGAATTGTAACAGCTCCCGTTGGGGATGGCCCTCACCCTCGAGGAGCTTCTGTTAGGGATTGAGGAAAAATTGACCTCCGCACGATTTTTTTAGCACACCTCTGCACGATTTGTCAAGCACAAGTTTTGCAACAAAACTGCTCGATTTGAGTTTTGTATGAAGTCCGACCTTCGGGCTAAAACTAAGCGATCTCGACACGTGTCACCATCCGTCCTAGACCGCCTGATCAGTCTTCCAGCGCCTCCGCTTGATTTGGTAGACCGTCATCCTGACTTGTTCAACACGGTCTACTCCTCCATATACACTTGCATTTGTCGATGACCCCAGGTGTCAAGGTTGGTCCTCCGGCTTCTCCAATCCCTCAATCCAAGCCTTGTTCGTCCTTCATGGCTCCTAGTTCATCGGCACGAACCTGCTTGACCTTCACCTTCGCTTTCAACTACCACCTTTGTGCTCCACACCTGTTCACCACAATCCAAGAGACATGTACAACACAAACTCACGTCATGGTTAGTCTCAAACTCTATCAAAATCAAACTCACCTTGACAATCAATCATCATCAACCGGCACATCTCAACCATGTGTTCACAACATATCATTTCATTGTAGATTAGGTGATTTGCCAAACCAAACACCGTGTTATGGTACCAATAAGAAGGAAGCTATGGTGAATATTTGCGCAGCCGAGCAGTAGCCAATAGACTAAGAACTCATGGGCATGCTCAGTATGGACATGAACTACAGTAACTGAAGTGCTTCCCATCACTTCGTCATATTTTTATCGATAATGCTACAAACAGGATGTCCGACGCCAACGACTCCCTCCAGACGGACGTGTGGCATGACGTGCACCACAACTTTGACTCCCTCCGTCTCTTATTCTTATTCCAGGCACCGCTCGCTCACTCCTCTCGGCCTTCACCCATCGCACCCTGACCCTACGCCGCTCGCTCGCTCCTTGCTCCCGCACCGTCGCACGCCCCACCTACACCGCTCGCTCCTCGCCCCCGCCCATCACGTGCCCCACCCGCACCTCGCTCCTCACTTTGGTCGTGCACTGCGCCGCCTACTCCCTCTCATAGCACGCGCCGCCCGCCAGGCTAAGCCAAGGCCGGTGCTGGTGGCGCTGGGCGGTGGCGGTGCTCGCATGTGCCGCTAGTGCTGGGTGCTGGTGGTGCTCGTGCACCGCAGCTCGCCGTCGGCTCCGACCCGACAGCTGGAATCTACTAGCTCATGCTTCCCCTCCCCTATGTTGCAAATGTATGGTTCAGGTGTTTAAGTTGTTTCAAAGGTATATTGCAGTTGTTTCTTATGGATGTTGCAAAAGTAGTGGGGATGTTTGCACATGTTGCATATGTTACGAGTGTTTCAGAGGCATGTTGCAAGCGTTTGTTTAAAATATTTAATCTGTTCTAGAAGTATGGCAAGCATTTTGATTTGGATGTTGGTATATGTTTCACGCATATATTGCAACAACATGTTCCATATGTTTCATGTGTTTAGACATATTGTAAGCGTTCTATTTGGATGATGCATATATTACAATGACTATTTTACAAGTTTATGTTCCAAATGCTCATCTGTTTCAAAAGTATGTTGCAATTGTTTCATCTGAGTGTTGTAAAAGTAGATCTCAATGTAGGGTTGTTTAGCGCAGAAGAGAGAGCTCGTGCGGGAGCCATGGCAGCCTCGGCTGTAATTAAGCTGGCGGCAACGCTCCACCAGAGGATGTGTAGGCATCCGCGCTGGCGCACGCGTTCCCGTACGACATGCTGCCTCCGCTGGCCCTGCCGAGGTCATGCAGCAGAAGCTTGTGGCACCTCCCCGCGCGACGGAGATGCAGACCCTGGCTACGGAGGTGACGCGAGCGCGACGAGGTTGAGACGCCCTGTGGGCACGGCTAGCGGGCGAGCTCCCCTATTACACGGGCGCTACACGGGGAACGGGACAGTGTGCCGCGGAGCTGCCTCGTCTGGACGCGGGCCTGGGACTGGACGTACGCCAGTTATTCCGTATTTTTATGTCAGCATTATTGTCACTTTGTCAGCACACGCTCGAAGTGGCCACCATCCTACTTTCTCTATACTACTGCCATCAACTTGCAGACATGTCCTTCATCCCCTTTTTATATTGCAAATGGCGATCTTCGAGAAAAATAGCAGATGTGATGTGTACATGAATGTATACAACAGAATTACCCCCTCTGAATCTCTGATTGCGATACAGCATTTCTCATCATGCGATTCATGCGCTAAATCAGAAGCCGTAATTTTGTCAAGCTGTCTGCGACTTTGTGCGTGGACGGTTTATTTGCATTGAATTGAAATGAATTTCACCGGGAGGTGTTTCCTTGATGGATAGGCTCGATGTCGATGAGGAGGCCCTGAGACGGGTACGGCATGGGCGACCTGGAGAAGCTGCCGTCGCAGCCGGCGGCGAGCTTCCACCTGAAGCGCGTCACGATGTGGTGCACGGCCACCAGCGTCTCCACCATGGCGAACTCGTTCCCGGGGCAGATGCGGGCGCCGCCGCCTAACGGCACGAAGCCGTAGGGCGGTATGGCCGACGGGTCCTCGAACCGCGCCGGGTCGAACCGGCCGGGGTCCGGGAAGATGGCCGGGCTCCAGTGCGTCATGTTGGTGGCGTACATCACCTGCCACCCTTTGGGGATGACGTAGCCGCCGTACTCGACGTCCTGGAGCGCCTTCCTCAGCATGCTGAACGCCGGCGGCACCATCCGCAGCGTCTCCATCGCCGCCGCCCAGGTGTACCTCATCCGGCAGAGGTCGTCCCACGACAGAGCCTCCCCGGACGCCTTGCACCGCGCGATCTCCTCTTGCTCTTGGAGAACTTTGGCGTAGGCGTCTTTTTTGGTGTCGAGATGCCGGAGGAGGAAGGTGATGAGGGCTGCCGTCGTGTTGTGTTCGGCGACCAAGAGGAACATGACGTTTTTCGTTTCCTTGTCGGGGAGGCCCTTGGAGAGCATGTGGGTGATGATATCGTCGGCCGGCGAGCTCTCCCCGCGCTCCAGCTTGGCCCTCCTCTCGTCGATGACCCCCGCGACGGCTCACAGCCAGGCACCGGCTGAACCTGGTAAAGGGCAGGTTGAGCGGGACCGCCCAGATGCCCTGCACCAGCTGCTGGAACTCCGCCGACAGCTCCATGCCGGCGACCTCGGCGTCCATGCCGGCGACCTGCCTCTTGACGGCGTCCAGCCTGAGGAACTGCACCATCATGGCCCTGACGCGGGCGTGCTCACCGCCGACCACGTCGCGGACCGTCCGCCGGCCGACCATGCGGCTGAAGGCCTCGCTGTTCATGGTGGTCAGCGCGGGGCTGGTGAAGACGAACTTGTTGGCGTAGGACCCGACGAGGGCGGCGGAGCCAGTCCTCGGCGGTGTTGACGCGAAGGGCGCGAAGCAGGCTAAGCGTATGTCCGACGACGGGTAGGCCAAAGGAGCCGGGAGGGAGGACCTTTCTGCTCGTCTTCTTGTCGCCGGCGCTGGCGAAGAGGAGACGAGACGATACAGCACCGGGAGCGATACAAGAAACGCGGCAACGATGGTCATCGTCATTGTCATCGAATCGCTTGGGTCGGGTGCGTCGAGAGAAATTAAACTGCTTTTGCTCACTCCGCATAGATTGCCAGATTTAGCGATCTGTAGTGGGTGGTTTCCGCGAGGAGATGCATCTAACGACAAGCTAAAGTCACATCGTGATGATGCTTTGGGTTGTACTTAGTCGCACTACTTAAAAAAAACATTTTTAGGGGCGGCTGGTAACCTTTCGTAGGGGCGGTTCGTCCAGCCACCCCTACGTAAGGGTCTCTACAAATCTTGTATTTATAGTGGCGGTTCCCAAGCCGCCCCTACAAATTGATTTGTAGGAGCAGCCGCCCCTACAAATCAATTTGTAGAGTTTGTAGGGGCGGCTGTAGTATCAGCCGCCCCTACAAACAGGTATTTGTAGGGGCGGTTCAATTTAGAACCGCCCCTACAGTACGTTTTCTCGCAAAAAAATTTAAATTTACAATTCAAAATTGGGTTGTCGAACGTCCCACGACCAACGTTCCGAACCGCGTTCGTGTTGCCGAACGCCCCGTGACCAACATTCCGAACCACGTTCGCGTTGCCGAACGCCCCACGACCAACATTCCGAACTGCGTTCGCGTTGCTGAACATCCCGCGACCTACGTTCCGAACCGCGTTCGCGTTGCCGAACGCCCCGCCACCGCGACTACAAGCACAAGAGTATTCTATAAACTACAATTACAAGTCCAATTCACAAGAATATATACAATCCATCATTAAATATACAAATTCCATACATATTGTTATCAACGTCTTAGAGCTAGCCTTTCAGTCTCACGAAGGTGTTGGTACTGAGGATTTGTACCTAACTCAGACTCTCGGTCATGGTAGGCGCCTCTGACGTATACAATCTGGTCCAATATGAAGTTGCAAAGGTCGCCGACAAGCTCTAAGAGTTGGTCATCCTTGTATGGGTCTCTTTTTATTCCTTTCTCTTCTCTCCACCACAAGAGAACAAGTTTCGGTTTAGTATTTCATACAATTTACGAAATTTTTATACTACGGGTGAAGAGGTTCAAACTTACCCTTAAGGGGTGTCTCCTGTAGGCACCGGTGTTACTCATTATAGAACATATATAGTATCCATAATGTACACTCTCAGGCTTCTGCTTGGGGCACTGTGTGTTTTGCATATGAACATATTAAGTAATGCTTTTGACAGCCATGTAACGTAGTACTGAAGAAATAAGTTACACTTACCGCACATAGTGTTTTTATAGCCAGCTTTTCCTTCCTTGCTGGATCATGCCTTCCATGATGATTAGTGACATAGAACCTAAATGCCATGTTCGAATTATTTTAGCAAATACAACTTGTTAGTATCCAAAAGTGAACGTTACAAGTATGTATACAAACATATAAGCTAATAAGGATTGTCGATATGTATACGTCTTGAGAATCGATATAAAGTCTTTATATGTCACTGTGTCCTTATCTAATGAATCAAAGACCCATGTCATGCTCCTCCCGACATCGATGGTTATACAAATACAGTGGTTGCTGCATGGATTTAATCATAGAACTAGATAAGCTCTTTTGCATCGAATAAAATCTATCGAACAAAGCTTTAAGTATAGAGTTGAGCTTACTCGAAGTTGTATGGTAGCCATATAATAGAGTGTTGTTGGAGATTTTTGAAAGCCAAGGCAATGTATGCCGTAACCTTAAGGGACTCTTCCCTTAGTTTCGCCGTACGGATGTGCTCTTTCTCTCGAAGAGTCTTTGCAGCAGCTAGCTCTTTGGCATCCAGTGTCCACCGTTTAGGGTAATTGAAATTTGTTTGGGCTATAGCTTGAGGGTCCATATATCCGGCTTTCACACTTGGCATTTGTTTGATAATGTGCACTTGCATTCTACAAATCACGATGTGGGTTAGTTACAACAAAATTCAAAGATTACATTCATATCATATCGGGAGGACAAGGACTTACAGGCACCACATGCGAATTAGATTCATCTCCATTTCTCCCAGGTGAAAGCATGTTTGCATGTCATTGAAGTCAAAGACAATTTTCCCGGCTGGGCTTCCAAATATGCCAGTGGGGAAGCATGCTTGTATGATATCTATGCTCGTTGGGAGAACACGCAAGTACCAATCATGGAACCTTCTCATTCCAAGTGGTAGGCATTGGATGTCCCGGTTTGGTAGGAAGGGCTTGCCTCTTTCATATGTTTTCAGGCAATCCTTTGACCATTTCATGGCATCAACATTTGGATACTGCTTTGCAATTTGGTGGAGTTTGCTAGTGATGGCCTCCTCAGAACCCCGTGATGGAACTTTTTTAACTTGGTTCTTAGGCTTGAACTGGTCATGGGAATACCACTTGGACACCGACGAGACGTCTTTGATCGGAACATAAACTAGCCTTATGGTGATTGGATGCTTCTTTTGAAGTTCCCATTCAGGCACGTCCTCATCTTCTTGTGCTGCAGCTTCTTCAGGAGGCACTCGTTGTTCATGTATCGGCTGTGCTTGTTGAGAAGACTATGGTATCTCATGATGCACTTGCTCGGTACGAGCTGGAGAAGGTTGTGGCATCTCATCAGGCACATGCTCGCTAGGAGGCGGGGAAGAATGTGGCATCTCAGGAATGTGGGGGTCACGAGACGGTGAAAATATCTCCCCGACCTCAACAACTCGCTCCAAATTTAGGAGAGGGGGAGGCGGCGAAGAAGCAGTCAATATAATGTCCCATTTGTGCCAGAGGATAAACTGCCTCATAACGTTTCCGAGTAACACCAGCCCCTCGGGAGTTGCATAGTCTATCCTCCACTACATGAACTCGGGCTTCACTGTATGCACATCGACCCTAGTGTAGTCCGACGGTATCTTATTATTGTGGTGTAAGCCACCGGGAGGATGTGCCACACCCGTTGCCACCTCCATCACAGTGTTCTGCCGACCGCTGAGAAACACCAAGGTGCAACTAGTTGGTTCCCGTATGCGATCGACTGGGGTTGTGGCTGCAGTGGAACCTTGGCTGCTAGGAACTTTCGGAGGGCTGCCAACTAAGGCCACTTCTCCCGGCGGCGTCACTAATATCCGTGGCTCCGTAGACAGTCCTTGCTCTTCCAGCGCCTTCGCAACTAGAGCCTTCACTTGGAGCTCAAGACTAGTCACCCGGTCTCGGCCATGTTTCTTGTACATGTGCCTGTCCTCTTCGAATCCTTGCTTCTAGGTCATCCTTTTCCCTAGTCCCCTGGTGAGGCCTGTGTGCTCCTTGTTTCCCAAGCCAAGGCTAAGCTTGTCCCTCTCTCTGGAAGGATTGAATGAGCCCTTCTCCTTGTCTTCAGCATATTTCAGTATCCTTAATACCGCCTCTTGGGTCTCCGGCTTATCAAACTTAAGATTACTATCGGATGATTCTGTACTCCTCGCATATATCTAGTTCCTTGAGCGTATATTCAAATTCATCACATCGATATTCCCAGCAGCTGCGGCCTCTTCGTCCATCTTCCTAAACTGCTCTTCCGTAGCATAGTAGCCACCGGGGCCTAGATGATGGTGGTGTTTGTTCCTCTTCGCTAGCTCGGTGTTACGGGCACTGAGCTCCAATGCCTCCGGTGAAGTCTTCTGAGCCACGAGCTCCTCCCATTGACTAGGAGTTATTTTGCCAAACTCGTTGAAGGGAGTTAACCACTTTTGGATATACTTCGTGTTGAGCTCCGACCTCCAACGTCAGAATGACTCTCCCATCATCCTAATAGCATTTTTTTTACCAATTAGTGCTTACCCTCCGGAAATCTAAAATTGACCTTCAGCTGCCTATTCCGTAGTGCATTCTTTGTGTTCTCTGGTACCTCTTTCCAGTTAGGGATTGTTGGGTTCAATTTATCTCTTACTAGGGCCCCGATAGCATTACGGAATTTTTCTCTTAATTCCTTTGGCTCAAGGATCTCCCCTGCTGGCCCGACCTCTGTTATCACATAGCATGCCTTATCTGGATATAGATTTCCTTTTCTATCCCCTCATTTTCTCTTAGGCTTGGTAGTCGTGGTTGTGTCTTTAGTTTGTGGAGCAGAGGCATCGTGATCCGTCTCTGTGGCTGTTGCCTCTGCTCTCCTTTCCTCTACTCCGTCTTGTCCAGCGAGATGTCGCGGACGTCGATGTCGTCTTTTCCAAGTTTTAGGAGGGACCTATATATACGATAGGTCAAAGCGTTAGCAGAGGTAACACAGCCAAAGCTTTAGCAAAATTTACAAGCTAAGGTTTTTTCCCTACCTCCTCGTTCGGATCAAAATCCTTGTCCAAATCTTGCTCTGTTGGCCTCCTTCTGGCTTCATGTGGGAAAGGATCCTCGGGACTTTCATATCCCTCTTCTGAGTCATCATCATCATCATCCTCTTCTTCTTCGCCTTCAGCAGCCTCTCCTTTGGGGCCTTCCTCCTCGTCACACTGCTCCTGAGTAAGCATCACTTATAGATCCTTTTCTACCTTGTTATCGAACTGTTCCTGAGTAAGCTGGTCCTCTAGTGCTTGCTCCTCAAGGGTTGGCTGCTCATCAGGCTTGGGGCATCGGGCTGCACTGTCTGGTGTCCACGACATTATTTCGCGCTTTGTTCTAATAGATGCAAGAAAGACTGCTTTAGAAACATGTCAAAAAAGTCCTATAAAACATCAATATATCAAAAAAACTAGTAGTAGCAGTAGTAGAGGCCTCAGAAACATGTCAATCATCATTTGATCATGAACTTGGAGCATCAAGGCATCATAACAGAGAAGAGAGGAGAAGGTAATGTAGGGGCGGCTGCTAATGATGCCAAGTTCCTCATAAGTTCTTGATCATTAGCTCATATTCCATATAATGTATGGACTTGGACAATTTAATCATCGGTAAAACAAAGGAGAGGAGAGGAGAGGGGAGATTTGGCAAAAGAAAAGCAACAGCTGCTTAACAAACATAGTGCAGCAGCTGATGGCAAAAGACAGGAGTCCTGGGAGATTTGACAAAAAAAAGCAACAACAGCCAACAGTTAGTAGCTAG